TCCGTCTGGAAGTAAGACTTTATTACTTACTGTTATCCAAAAGATTCTGAGCAAAAAAAATAAATAAATTTCCTTAAATTAGTGAAGCAAACAGTCATTTTTTTGGTTACTTTCCAGAATGTTAAAGTTTATTTAACATTCAGTCCTTTAAAGCTGCAGTCTGTAACTTTTATAAAGAATATATTTTTGGCATATTTGTGAAAAGTGTCACCATGTTGTGAGACAGATAATCTGTGAATAGAGCAATCGCCTTCTGAAGAAAGGCACCTCTCCTCACCTGAAACAACCAATCAGAGCCAGGAGGAGGGTCTTAGCGCTGTCAATCCTCCTCATGTACTCGCTGCTAAATGTGCTAATGGCAGAGAAGCAACTTGTTGCTACGGGAAAACCGTTTATTCTGTGTTTTCAGTGGCTATACGAGCTAGCCTGAACATTCATGATCGTCGGTGCTAAATGCAGCGTAGCAGAGGGAGACGGAGCAGGGGAGAGCAGCGCCACAAGGATGGGTGATTGACAGCACTGCCTCCTGGACAAATTGGTTGTTTCTAGAGAGCACTGGGAGAAGTTTTGCTTGAATTATTTTAATGCATTTATTTTTCACAGATTCTCTTGTCAAATATGTAACATGTTTATCAATTAAAGTTTCATATTGCAGCTTTAATAAAACTGCCCTGAATCAGTAACTCTACCAAAGTAATTTGAAACAAGTAACATTCAACTTTTTGCTGAAGCAAATCTTAATTTATATAAGTTGTTGTAAAATAACGGCCTGTTATTTTGCAGCGTTTCAGAGAAGATCTTATTATTTCTGGAAAACAGTCCAGCAGTTTATTTACTGATTATTATTAAATGAACTGCGTTATGTTGTCTTAACTTTGTCCTTGATTTGTTTTCAATCTGCTTTTCTTCACACAGATGTTTGAAGTTTCTTGGATCTCGCCACCCAACGCTCGTGCTGCCGCTGGTTCCTGAGCTGCTCAGCACTCACCCGTACTTCGACACGCCGGAGCCTGACATGGACGACCCCGCCTGTATCTTTCTTGCCCCCGAAAAATCATTTAAAGGGGCAATAATATGTAAAGTCAACTTTTTTGAGCTTTACATTGTGTTATTCATGTCTTTGTCAAAAACACACCTGGAGTGTTTCATGCTTGTTTGAGAAATGCTTTCATCTACATGGCAACCATTCGGCTGTGCAAAACACGTGGGTGGACTTAGCCCCGCCTCCGGGCCTCACAGAGTGGCACTCGCCCGCTCAGCTCCTTCAGACTAGCCAGCAGAAATTAGTAAACACCTGGTGGGAGTGCTGAGCTCATTATGCAATCTGCTTCTCAGAACCACGTTGGTCAAAACGTTAAAGGGTTTAGAAAGAAGCCATGTTGGGACTTTCTGACGGCAGAGATTCTTAAAGAGACAGAGGCCTAATTTTAAGGGGATAAAACAGGAAGTAAAATTTCTTTTACTTCCTGTAAAAGACATGAAATGTTTCTTTGTGACATGAAATGGCTCTTTGTGCTCAGAAAACGCAGAAATCTGCCACTTTAATGTGAATAAAAAGCACAGAGGAACAGAAATCAGTGTGGTAACCGTTAAAATGTACTTCTTTATGAGAGGAAAGTTTAATTCTTGAATACTTTCTTCAATATTTAATTTTTCTGCCTCTGCAGAGCTGCTGCAGTGGTTTTTATGGCACAGAGTTGCTTTGAGTGAAATCTGTTCGTCCCTCTTGACTCCTGTGACTCATCTCAGACATCGCGGTTCTGGTTTTGGTGTTCAACGCCGCCAAGTCGTGTCCCACCATGCCGGCGCTGTTCTCCGACCACACCTTCAGGCACTACGCCTACCTGAGGGACAGCCTGTCGCACCTCGTTCCCCCACTCCGGGTGAGAACCGACAAAACACCACAAACAGCCGAACAGCTGGATCCATTTTCATGCAAATCGCCTCAATTTATGTTTTATTTAAAACTTTTTTAAGATTTTGGTATTTGTGAGTCTTTAGTTCCTGTAAATCAAGAATCTATTTAAGCTAAAAATTACGCTGACCTTCCAGATTGTCTTTAGCAAATAATGTTTCACACATCCTGCCGAAAATTTAAAGTAGTTCAGTTTAGTTTCCTGTAACTGTTTGCTTCAGTTGCCGGGCAGGAAGCAGGTTTGCAGTCTGGACTCCGTGGACTCAGGATGCGGTTCTGGTTCGGTGGAGTCGGCCAAACTCTTCCTCCAGCAGAGTCTCAACAGGGTCAGCACCATCCAGAACCTGGAGACACCTGGAGCCCAGGACCTGTTGAACTTCACAATACGGTAAACGTCGCACTGGAAGTAGGACTGAATAAAGTTAAATGTTTGTCAAACTCTGAAAATGCTTTTGAAAAAAGTCTTAGCATCGCTCTGTTGATTAATGGTTTCAGATTAAAATTATCTCCATTTGATTGATTTACCTGGATTATTGTGGTTCTCATTTCATCAGAGATCTGCAGCGGCTAGGCGAGCTGCAGACTGAACTCGCTGGAGCTGCTGATTTCTGCGCCACATACCTGCGCTGTCAGCTGCTGCTCATGAAGGTGGCATGTGCTTCCTTTTCATTAGCTGGATGTCCTGCAGGAGAACGAATCTCAGAGAAAAACTCTTTTAACGTTTTATGTATTGTTGTTGTTCAGGCCCTGCAGGACAAGCTGTGGAACATGGCCGTCCCTCTCTGCCTGAAACAAAACGTCACTGCTACAGCTGCAGCTCAGCAGGTAAACACACAAACTTAAGACTGAAATAAATCCCACAGCCTTAAAACGCAGTTAATTCTTCTGATTTCCTGCAGATTTTAGAGGAAACCTACAAGCTGGAGTTTCTGTACAGCGGTTTGGAAAGCAGGGAGGTGGCGACCATTCACCATGTTCGCCTTCAGGCCAAAGCCCTGCAGCTGGTGCTGACGGCCAGAACCAGACCAGGGTCGGTACAGAAACGCACAGCGCTCAGTCGCTGTTTGTTCAGAGGTTTCACCCGGCTGTCACTTCTCCTTAGGTTGGATCTTCTCATCAGCAGCTGTGAGAAGTTCCTGCAGGAGATCGAGTCTTTTCAGAGGTAATTCAGTCTGTTAGTGTGTTTTATTGTATTGTGTTTCTGGAACTTCTGAGAGGCTATTTTAGATGCCAGCTGTAGTAACTCGGCGGATTGTGGCCTTTCTGCTCCCCCAGGATGTTCCTGGCAGAGCTGCCCCACCTCCAGGACAGCTTTGTGGACAAACTTTTGGAGATCATGCCGCGGCTCTTGTCTTGTAAACCTGTGGAGATGGTGAAGATTCTCCAGACGACGCTGAGGCAGAGCGGCCTGCTGCAGCTCAGACTACCTGAGCAGGTAACATAATAACCAATCAGAGTTTCTGCCACACAAAGCAGATCTAATACCAACACATCGTCATATTTGTGTCGCAGATCCATCGCGCCACAGCCGCCATCATCGAGCCAACAGGCGAGTCGGATAACCCGCTGAGGTTCACGTCCGGCCTGGTGGTGGCGCTGGACATCGACGCCACGCTGGAGCACGTCCAGGATCCCCAGGATAAGGTCAAAGTTCAGGTGACTGTTACCTTAAATTGAAAGAAAGCTGCTGATTGTTTCATACTTTGTTTTACCAAAATGTTCTGGGTGCAAATATTAGCGATTCACTGCAAAAAAAAACTTCTTCTTACCAAGTATTTTCCTCTAGTTTCTAGTGCAAATATCTTGGTTCTCCTAAAATAAGACAAAACTAAATTACAAGGAACTTTTCGGAACGATATAGGAGCTTGATATTGATAAATAAAAAATAAGTACAAGTTTCACTGGCAGATAATTTTACTGATGACATTTTCCCCACATTTTACATGAAATAATCTGCCAGTGGAACAAGTTCTGGCAGTAAAGTTTTAGTTTTGTAAAGTTTTAGTTTCCTGCATGTTGATAGTAACCAATTCATTCCTATTAAAGGAACTAAAGGACAGGATCATTGTTTTAGCTTCACTTCATGTTATAATGTTATTCCCTGAAGTGTTGCTTTAATCTCCATGACAACCATTCAGCTGTGCAAAACGCCTGGGTGGACCTAGCCCCGCCCCACTCAGCTCCTTCAGACTAGCCAGCAGCAAATAGCAAACACCTGATGAAACTGTGAATCAGCTGAGCTCATGATGGGAAAGTGAAACGCTGGTAGAGCCGTTCAGTGGTTGATGGAGGAGCCGTGTTGTGACGACTTCCTGAATTTCAGAAAGAGTTTTTAAAGAGGCCCAATTTCAAGTTATTAAATTACAAAGTCAGATTTCTTTTAAGTTATTTGTGATATATTTATCATATTTATATTTACTGGATTACTTTATTATTTCAATTAATCATAATTCATTGTTTTAGCTCTACTCATAGAATCAGTCCCTGGAGGTTTGTTGATGTTGAAAGTTTCAATAAACATTTTTTTGGATTTTGCATATTTAAGCCTTTAACGGTTTTTTCAAACATTCCTACAGGTCCTGTATCCAGACGGCCAAAGCCATGTGATCCATCCCAAACCGGCAGACTTCAGAAAACCGGGACCGACTAGACACCGGCTCATCACCCAGGTTTACCTCTCTCACACCGCCTGGACGGGTCAGTACAACAAACCGCTCAGAGCTCCTCGCTTTGAGGTCGCGCTGACCTTCAGCTAACATCAGACGGCCTTGACTTTCCCCAGAGCCTTCGCAAGTCGAGGTGCGCCTCCTGCTGGCCTACAGCTCCTCTTCGTCCTCTCCATCTTCATCCAGCAAGTCTGGGTGGAGCGACAGCATCGACGGCCTCCCGCCAGCAGAGGCCGCCGTCGAGGGAACGATCCCGTTCAGCAAGCCTGTCAAAGTCTACATCATGCCCAAACCTGCACGGAGATAACCGGACCCCAGGTCTACGAGACCCTGCTTCAGACAGGACTTCAGACCGGACTGGGTTTTTAAAGCAGATGGAAATATTTTTATTTGGATGGAATTTTGTTTTTCACTCCACAAACATTTGGAAAGTATTTTAATTAGTTTTCATGTAATCAAACAGGCAGAAATACACAATTCAGCAATTCACAGATTTAGTCTGCAAAAACATAATATTTACAAAGTATTTTTGTCTAGTTTATAGTGCAAATATCTTATTACACGTGAAACAAATCAGAAGTAATTTACAAGTAATTTTTCAGCAAGATATAGCAGCTTGTTTTAGGTCAATAGTTCCTTAATATTGATGGAAAATTTTTCTAGTGTTATAAGTGAAATAGTTCCAGAAACTACAGTTTGTGTAGTTTCTATTTGCACTTGAAACTACAAAAAATACTTGGTAAAATATTGTTTTTGCAGTGTAGCTAATCCTGAATAAAGAAGAGTTAAATACAATCTGCAAACCTCCTTTTTCTATTAGAACAATTTTTATTCATATGTAAATAAAACATCAGCACCATTTTGATTGTTTTAGACACTGTTGGTGCTGGAGGCTGTTAGAAATGCATTTTTATTCAAGTTCATGTTGTGACTTTGAATTCTCAGTCATCTCAGGTAAACTTTAACGCACTTCAGAGCTTCAGAAACTTTACTCCGGTAAACTCTGTAAATAAAAACTGATTTAACCTTCAGTATAAGATGCTGCTTTACGGCCGTTGTATATAGAAAAAGTTATATAATTTTCTAATTGGATATTTTCTTGTTTTTCTAGAAAGTTTGAGATTAATTGCAAATTTTCCCCATTTTTGGAGTGCATTCATTCCTTTTTAGAACCTTGAACGGTTTAAGTCTCACCACTGATAACTGCAGAGATGCTGAGAAAACCTCTGGGCGCAGGTATCAACATGTTTAATGGCGTCCAGAAAGGCGATGTCAGCAGGTCGAGTGGAAAACGCCGCCCACTTTGGCTCCTTGAACAGCCAGCTTGTTGTATTCAGCCACAGCCTTCTGAGTCTGGAGGACTCGGACTTCAATGCCTTGCTGCTTCACGAAATCCAGAGTCGAGGAAGGAACCTGTGGAGGAAAAAACATGCACGTCTAAAACAGGAACTACGGTACTTTGTGCTACAGAACTGATGGGATTCTGGCTCAAATATTACAGCAATGGATCATAAAATTATTTAATATCAACAGGACACAGAGAGGCTCTGTTACCAAGGCAAAGTTAATTATTAATATTTGTATTTATCTGTTTATCACAGAAGTTGAAGCAGGTAAAGCTGAAATGTTGCTGCTACAGGAGTTCTGGGTAGAATATAGTTACAGATAAACTCGGCTTTTTATCTTATTAAATATTTTTTGCACAGTTTTGGCTTAATTGCCGTTAGGAATATGTTGTTTTTTCTGCATATTACCCTTTTTGTGTCCGTATATCCCAGTTAACAATGAACGATTACCAAATTAGTTAATGATTCTTTAAATTCCAGCCGTACAATAGATCCAAACTTCCTGATTCAGATGGCTTTTGTCCTTTCGCCTCATACGAGTCAATCGGACCCGTGTTGAGGCAGAAGGCGCTCAGATTGTTGAACCAATCCCCTTTTGGGATTTCTGCAATCCTGTTTTACCCCTTAGTCTGCTGCGTCCTCTACAGGGGGATTAGGGCGTAAAGCTGAGGGGTCGACTAAGCTGACCCTCACACATAAACACTGTATGGTACCACAGAAAGATCAGCAATGTCTTATACACCCTTGTAGTTTAGTTTGTTATTGAGGTTTCTGGTGTTGCACAAACATTCAATTTGACTTTTTAAAGAATATAATTTACCTGTAGAGCTTCACTCATTCCTCTCCCAATGACCAGCAGCTCTATTCCCTTCTTCATCACCTCCTCCAGGTCAGCAGGCTGCACTCCTGGGTAATGCTAGGAGAAAGTCATAATGTTCCTCAGAGGAACAGATTCTACAATCGCTAACAGCGTTTATATTGATTCTGGTTTGACTTACATCGGTCCCAGTCTCCCTCCAGTCCCAGGCCCGGCTGCCTCCGGGCCAGACCTTACAGTCCTTGTAGCTGGAGGAGCATCCCTTCACCTTCATCAGGCCCCAGGACAGGGAGGCAATTTCTGGGGAGGTCATAGTTCAACGAGGCTGGAAGACAATACCAAGTAATCAATAATGTAACTAACAAACAGTAAACACAGCTCAACCAAAGAAAAAGCACAGACACTCTTAGGAGCTTTTTTAAAATTGTCTAGGTCAAAGGTCGCCAGAGTTAGGTAGTAACTAATTACAATTACAAGTAACTCGTTGGGAAAAATTTACTTTTAGGAGTATTTTCACTATTCCACAATTTACTTTTACTTGAGTAATTTCATTGTGAAGTATTTCTACTCTTAGTTGAGGTAAATTTCTGGATTTTCTACCAACTGAATGAAAAACAAACATTTTTCAAACAAATCTTCACCAGACACAAAATTTCATTTGGAAAGAAACTGATAAGGATTTTTTTTTGTCTGATTTTATTTTCTAATTATGTTATTTATATTTTTGGTTCTTGCAAAAGCAAAATTTCCACATAACTTTATATTTTGGTTCAAGAGTAGTGCTACTCTTATTTCAGTATAATTTCAGGCTCACATTTTGTTATGTCAAGCTCTCCAAAGTGACTCATAATAACCTTGAACTGTAATGTTAGCAACTAAATAATGGTTTGATATTTAAACTGGAATAGAAAACTCTTTTCTGTAAAATCTGCAAAGAATTTGAAATATAAAATGACAATAACAACTCCTGGAATAATTTTAATATGAGGCGGAATGAATGTTTTTTTTTATTTTTTGGAACATGCAAGTAATACCTACCTTTCCACTTGTTACATAAAAACATACCTCTCACAATAAAAAACAATTAAGAACAATAACTATATAACCAAAGAAAACAGCTGACATGTTTAAAAAGTAAGAAGCCTTTTAGTGGTTTTAAGCAAAACATTTAAGGAAAGATGCAACATTAACACAGTTAAGTCAGTATTTATTTATGTATCATTAAGTTTAACCTAAATTAGCGTTTAATTTTTATTTAAATATGATTTAAGGGGGTGAAAAGCTCTTTATTATATAAATATTGCAGATCTCCAATACAGGCCTTTTTAGAGAGCAAAAATTAGACGCCCTTCTTCTACGATAGCAAATACAGCCTAAAAAGTTGCTAGGAAACCGAAACTGTCATAAATAAAACTTTAACTCACCGTTTGACACCAACAGCGACGGATCGACTCTGAAGTGGGAGTTAAACTGCTGTGGCGTCCTGAGTTGTAAACACGCTGTAGAGTTAAACCTCCCAACACAATCCTTGCGGCATATTTTTAATTAAATGGAGGCTACGCCCTCTGGTGGATGGGAGGAAAACTGCAGCAGAGCCGAAAACATTCAATGTCTATTTTTATTTCGTTAGGTTGCATTTAGCTGAGCCTCTGACTCGGCTTTTGGTCTTAACTTAAGTCTCGGGTATCCGATTAACTCTTAGGTCCCGCTCTACTACGATTTAATCATGTAATTAAGCTGAAGACTGTTTAACCTCATACCGATGACGTAATTCAACCGTTGGGGAGCACAAGCTAATTAGCATAGCATATTAACCCAATTTAAAGCGTTTCACGTCATTGAACAAAACTGTTTACCACATAAATCCAAACAAAAAAATTTTTTTTCCAGTTTAACTTGTTTAAAATTTCAAAGTTAGGCTATTTACAAGGTAACGCCTCCATTTCAAATATTTAAGGATTGCTAATGTTTAGCAGCTTGCTACTTTATCGATATAGCACCAATTCAATTAAGCCATCTTAAGCAAACAAAAAAGGTTTAGTGAGGTCATACAGCCATTACCAATGATAATATTTAATTCAGTCAAGTTGCATTAAAAAATATATTTAATTGAAACTCAAGACTATTGAGCAAAATAAAAACTGACTTTATATTCCCTCTAAAAACAGAAATGCATGCTTAAATGAGACTCGAGGATCCTTTGGTCTGTTATTTATTTTTATACAAAAGAAAAGTCTGCTTACAAATTATTCAAATTTACAAACAAGAAATATTCATTTCGTTTTAATCTGGAGAAGATGACGCATCAGAACAAACTCCCCTCAGCTGGTCCACATCTGCTTTGATCTTCATCTGAAAAATATAAAATACATTTTTTTTAAAAATCAGCTCTTTAAGTTTCTGCAGTTCTGATGTGCCAGATTTCCTGCATGTTTGCAGGCATCATGTTCCCAGCGAGTCCTCTACAAACACTGCTGCAGAGGCTCACTGGGATGGTTTTTGATTTCTGGTCAAGTCCACAGCAAGTCAGGAACATCAGATCCTGAAAGCCTTGGTATATGACCAAACTGGACAGAATGTAACTTCAGAAACTGACCTGTGACGCAGAATCGCTGTTCAAACTTCACCTTACGACATGCATGCTTCAGCTGAACCCTGGAGAAATTAAATCAAAAAACAAATATCAAATATCTGAACAGTCTTACCCAAAATATTAAAAGAAAGCATACAGGGGGGATAGAAACAACTATTAAAATGATTTCAATTAACTACAATAAAGTTGAATTCTATTCTAATCACACCCTCTGAATCGACTTGATTATTTGCAGCCTGAGCATGCAGGCTTTCCTAGTCAAGAGTTTGGTTGTTTCAGCCACTATTCCAGGACTCCCAACATGGAGAGCTGGGAGACCAACGATGCCTGATGCTGAGTTTTTCTTGCACTGCTATTTAAACAAACCAGCTGATGAAACAACTGGTTGCAGACACCGCAGCGCTGCTTAATACTTAAACACAAACAAAAATAAAATACTTACAGAAAAGTGATGCTCAGCTCCAAGAGCTAAACAGGAAGGAAAATAAAATTATTAAAAACAAAGTTAATAAAATTGGTGTAAAGGGCCATTATAAAGGAGCAGCATATTTCCACCAAAAAAGACGTGGAAATTTTAATACTGTCAAATTCTTTCTAGAACATTTGAGATCATCTTAAATTTACTCTGGCACAAATTGTTAATTTTTGGACCTCAAATTGTATTTTATCTGGAACATCTCGAGCTGCAGAAATTCGTAAAAAAAAAAAAAAAGACTAAAGTTTTGAGATTAATATCACTGAACTTTTGAGTTTGAGAAATCAATTTTTCAATTAGAAATAACTCAGAACTCATGTCCAATGTCTTTCTTAAATTTTTGAAATAATCTAAACATTTGAAGATTTTAATACAATTTTTGTAAGAATTTTCTAGGAAAAACAATTCTGATCTCCAAAAGTTGAGAATTTGTAAGAAAAAAACCCAAATTTTAAATATCCCTCAAAAAATTATAGAAAAAAAAGAATTGGAGATTATTCTTGAAACTTCAGAGGTGTTGCTGGGAAAGTAATTTATATTAAAAAATAAAATCTACATCGGCTATAATTCGCTGCTTGTTTCAGCTGAAATACCAGGACTCCACACACAGGCAGCATGAAGACCAACGATGCCAGAAGCTGAGTTTCTTTAGCACTGACCTTTGAACTAACCAGCTGATGCAGCAGCTGGCTGCAGATACCGCAGTGCTTCTTCCATAACAAACGTTTTCCAGCCCAACTTACTAAATCATCCCGCCGCCATCTTGCATTCGGACGCCGTCATCTTGACTCATTTCCGCCAAACCTGTGGCCTGAAACACACATCTCTGTTAAATCTGGTCGATAATCCGTCTTCCTGAAGCTTCTCATCATGTTGTTGTCCTGCAGTTGTATCCCATAATGCTCACAGCTGAACACCTGGGTAAAGCGAAACCACAGATTTTCTCTTTGAGGCATTTCCAACGACTGGGCCCTACATGAAGGGCCCGTCGGGATAGACCTCAGAGACGGCCTAAATTTAAAGGAACGCCTTTAAATTTCACACACATTAGAAAAACATGTTATTACGGTATTTTGTAGACGCTTATAAACTGTCCAAATTCTGTTTGAACAAAATAGAGACAAAGGTCAGAAGATTGAGATTATTTAATTTCAATGAAGTACTTTTGAATTGAACTTTTTGGTATCAGTTCAATACAAAAAATATATAAATAAATAAAGTTATTTTTAATAAAAGATTGACACTTTTTTGCTGTCCAGGTTAGTTTGCAACTTCTGAATCTTGTTTATTACAGCTTTGTGAAATGATAATGACAAAAATAAATTTAAAAAATGACACTCGATTTTATCCAAACCAGTAGATGGAAAAACATTTTTATTTTAAGCAACATTCTAATCAGTTTGCATGAGAACTGGATGGAAACATATCTGCTGAAGATCAATTTCAGATCCAGCTGTAAGCTTAAAATAAAAATATTAAGCTTCAGTTTGAAAACTTGAAAATATCCAAATATTATCCCACCCAAATCATGTTCTAGAATAACAAATTAACTAACAGGAAGTCATTGGAGAGATTGCTGAATCAGGTGGTTTATAAGCACCAATACACTGAAGACCCAAAATAAACACTGATCAAAATTCAGGCCGAATACAGATTTTTGAATCAACTTCAAGATTTTGAGATGTCAAATTAAACAGCCTGGATAATCTGAAGTGGTGGACAGATTATAGAAGAAACGACATTAACCTTCACTCACCTCGTTAAAGATGGCCGACGGCTGAACCTGCAGGGAGCAGAGGGATCATTAATGAGAACGCAGAGCCGTAAACGCCGTGTCCAGTTTTCAGCCGCAGGTTCAGTCAGGCTGATTTCACTCACGCTTCAGAGCAGTTGAACATTTTACGCCACTCATCATCACTAGGACAATTCATCCACTGCATACAAACAGTACTTACCCAGCTGGCTTATCCATTACATTACATCTGAAGGCTTTGACGTCGACAGGTTAAGGGTTAAAGGTCATCCCCAGCACCTGTGGAAGAGAGGAAACTTTAGTTTCTTTTAGTGATTTAAGTCAAGCAAACAGGTTAAAGGTCAGAGGTGTTAGTTCTCATTAGTAACGCTGCTGCAGATGATTGACAGCAGCGGGTTGCAAGAGAAAAGTTTGCTCTGCGCACTGTGTGAGCCTCACAGCCCACCGTACAGGACCAGAGGTCACACCGTGCTGCAAGCCCACCGGCTCAAACACGAAACACGATCAGAACCAGCAAACCAATAACCTGATCCAGGGGCGTCCAAACTTAAAAAACATTTTCAAAACCTTAGATTCAAAACTTGAAAGGGATTTTTACAGGCTGTTGTAAAAAAAAATTAAAATTATTTATGACTGTAAATGAACCCAAAAAATATATTTTTACTTTTTATGGAGAAAAAGCTTATTGTTGATTTTGCAGATTTAACCTTTGACATACCTGATGCCCCAGTCTGTGGACCAGTAAGTGACTGGGAGGTTTACTGGCATGATGGTCCAGCTCTGAACTTTTACCTTTAGGGAAAAAAATAAAAAAATAAATTTAATCAGTGAATGTTAATCATACTCTGTGTATATTATGTAGCAAGATTAGTGGGATTTTCCAACATCTTTATATGGTCAAACTACGGCTGGGTGATTTGCCTTTAAGATAAATTTCAGATTTGTTTTTTGATATCAAATATGATTTTAATTCTTATTCTAAAGCTGGAAAATATGGATGTGGATTTATTTCAGTCATCCGTCAAGGTAAAAATGAGAATATTTGTTTTATTATAAGAATATTAGTAGAATAAACAAAACTTTACTAGAACGTCTTAAAAACTCGCTGAACAAAGTCATTTTAATGAGAAAAATAGATTTGGTTAATAGTTAATTTTACTATTGGGAGTTTTCATAAAATTACTTCAGTCTCCTGATATTACAACTGTATTCTTGTAACACTGACTCCATTCATTTAAAAAAAATAATTAGCCTGATCCCTTCATTTTGTCGTAGATTTGACCCGAATTCAAAGTAGAAGCTACAAAATTGTCAAATTCTATTTAATTGGTAAAAATTTATTTGATCATCAGGTCCTAAATGAAGTTTTATTTAAGATTCAACTGTGCCAGGCCTCATTGTCACCATTCTGCCACCAGAACTGCAGAGATGAAAGCAAAACCTGACTTTCTCTCTCCACTGCTGCTCTGGGATCAATCCACTGAGCTGGAGAATCCCAGAAAAATAAGAGCAAGCTGTGGTCAACCCTTCAAAATCATTTAAAAAATATAATATACTCTGCATGAATAAGAACACTGATTTAATTAATTTAGCCTTCAACAAATATTGGACATTAATCTGATCTTCATTTGTTTTATATTGATTTAAGTGGCTAATTTATTCCTCCAATTATCACAGCTATTTAACGTGAAACGAATCTAACGATCGTTGTCGATAATTTGCTTTAAATTCCCTAAAGTGTTGCTAAAACTACCGCGAATATTTGAAGTCGCAAGATCCGGGTTCGAATCCCAGCCACGTGTTGTCGAGGAAAAAACCGAAAAATAACCTTACAAGTATCGCGATAACTACAACTAACGTCAAACAATTAAACATTATTTGTCAACATACCACTCTACGCGTCATTTTGCTTATTAAGTCCCTCAAAACAAGCCCAACATCAGACAAACTCAGGCTATCTTAAAGCTACATAGCAGCTAACTAGCCCGCTAATGCTAACTGCGAGAATTCTGGGCGGGAAAACAAACATGTCTCCAACATAGTTTATCAACCGTTAACAGCAGCGGGTCCAAATCTGTCTGTGTGAGGTCCGCTAAATCTGGGTTAATATGTAGATTAATACTCACTCATTGCTCGTATTTGGACCGAAACTTCCATAGCTCAGCGAACAGAGAAAAGAGAACCTCACGATGTGCGACAGGAGTATTTAAAGGCCGCGTTACGTCAGTTCAAGCCGCTTTTCGGCAACAAACATAATAGGAGGAGTTTCCAGTCCTCTCTACAAACAAAACCAATCTTTATTTCTAGAAAGTTTGATTTCTTTGCGGGAGGTTTCATGCAGAATCTTGACTGTGTAAAAATACAGTCTCTTCCACACAAATTAATAATCACTAATGACGTCAAAGAAGTTTCTCTTAAATATATTCACAGAGTTCATCCAACTAAATATTTTCTTCAAATATAAAATTGATGCACATATGTCCTCTTCTTTCTACAAATTTCTTTGCTCGCAGAAGATATATAAAATACTCTTCTGCTATCAACCAGATTTTGTTTCGAGCAAAGTTTTAAAGTGCCAAAACATTTTTGGTGGTAAATTGTAACTCAATGTAATCTCAATTTAAACAATAAAAAACTATAACAATTAAAAGTGCTTGAAATGCTTACAATCTAACATTTTAACTCATTTTTTTGTTTTCTTCTTTTCTTTCTTTATTATTTCGACCTTTTTTGTTCTCATGTCCTGTTGTACAAAACTTTTTCAAATACTGCTTCTACCTATAGATACGTCGTTTAAATGAAGTCATAGGGGGAAAGTTTCGAAATACTAATGATAATAATAATTGCTGTTAATCCGACTAGCTCTCTGTGAAAAAAATCTGAATAATTGGAAGAATAACAAAGATTGATTAGAAAATAAAATTTGTGTACACTGCCATCTGGTGGTCAAATTAAAGAATGACGAGTCGCTCAACTTCCGCTCTGAACTTTCAAAAATATCCGTGAACAAACAATTACAGATCGAAATAAATGTCAAACACAAATATAACAACGGGGTTAGTAATTAGTATTATAATTTCATGTTACTAATGATGTTAAAAGCGTCGCATTTGAAGTTAAAAGAGCCCTCTTATGAAGGGGGACAAAACGATGACGTCATTTAGCTGCGACAAACATCGTCCCCACCGTGAAGGCGGCAAGATGGAAGTTTCTCCTTCTTCAACTGTTTCTCTCAGAGAGTTCGGGTGTGAACAAACCTTACTGTCCCGTCCTGATGGATCGGCGTCCTTCGTTCAGGGTAACAATAATTTGTTAGAAATGTTTCAGGCTCAAAAACAGGCAAAATGGTCGACAGATTAATCATTTGTTACCCATGCCTTTTGTTCATACAGTATAATTCTGTTGTAAATATTCAGATTATGGACAAATCTCACTTTCTCTCTTCAAGATGCCTTCACCACTCTTGGTTGAATGTATACAGTAACACTCAGTAATTTTGGAATCATGAAAATAACAGAAATTAAAGCAAAATTTGTGTTGAAAATTTGATGACACTTCCTTGTAATCTCTTAACATGATACAGATTAGTTTCTGGACTGAATCCTAAACTGAGATTGTTGAAAGAAATTGTTTCTAAGGGCAGTTTTAAGCTCAACTGCCACTAAAGCTACAAAGTATTACAACATAATTTTTCACTATTCCCATAGTCTTTGAGAAAAGTTTTATATTCATAATTTTTTTCTTCTTTTAATTTTTCTTATTCTGCCTGTTTCTGCAGGAGACACCAGTGTGATGGCGGGAGTCTACGGACCTGCTGAGGTCAAAATCAGCAAGGAAATCTATGACCGGGCAACCCTGGAGGTTCTGGTTCATCCCAAAGTGGGACTGCCGGGTAAGTCGCAGTGAAACAGTCAATATAAAACGTGAAGCAGCTGCTTCACACTCATGTTTACTTCTAGGTGTGAGGGAGCGATCACAGGAACAATGTGTGCGGGAAACATGTGAGGCGTCTCTGCTTTTGTCCCTCCATCCTCGCTCGTCGCTCACGCTCATCCTGCAGGTGCTGCACGACGACGGCGCCGTATCCTTCACTGAAAACGGGTCTGTTGGTTTGGAACACACCAGCGCAGCAGCTACCTACATTTACTTCAGTAACTTCTTTCAAAACATTTGTTTTTAGGAGTATTTTGACTATGCTGTACTTTGAGTAATTTTATTTTTAATTATTTCTATTCTTACTTGAGTAAAATTTCTGGATTGTTTTTGTCTAGCGAATACTTTTTCACTTGAGTAATTTCTTGGACGGCTACTTTTGACTTTTGCTTGAGTAAAAATAAGTGTTACTCTAAGGTGAGTACAGTTTTAGGGTTCTCTCGGTGCCTCTGGTTGGTAAGCCTTCTGGCTGATTGGTGCCGTTCCTCATTCCTTACCTAAATGCTCAGCTCCTGTCCTGCTGTCTGAACGCAGCCTGCATGGCTCTGATGGATGCCGGCTTGTCTATGAGTCGCCTGTTTTGTGGCGTGACCTGCGCCATCAGCGCAGACGGTGAAATCATCACAGACCCGACTGCAGCCCAGGAGAAGGTAAATCTGAAGCTCAGAAAAGCAATAAAAAATAAATCAAACTCAGATTATTTATGGCCTGGAGAGGAGCTTCTTGTACTTTTGCTTCTTTAAACTTCTCATAAATAAAAAATCAGGAGAAGACTTCTTTAACTCCGGGATTGGGTCAGTCATGATAACAGACTTTGCTAGATAATAAATTGCCCCAGACATTGTTGTGATAAACATTATTAATGTTGAATCTTGGTAATAATGCAATAACGATGAATAAACTTTAAATTCAAATGAAAATTGTAACATGGAACAAGAAATAATTTTATATATCCAAAATAAATAAACAAAACAACAAATAAAATAAATTATGAAGCCTCTATAAGCAAAGCTGTTCTTAAAAAAGGGCTAATTGAGACCAAAACATCAGACTGGAGACGTTTATCTTGCAGTTTTTGGTGGAAAGAAAAAATGTAAAAGAAAATTATTGATCTTATTTTAATTTATTATGCGATTAATTGATTTATTGCTTATTGCAACAAGTTTACACAGGATATATTACACTGAAAATACACAAAATGTTTTGGATTTTTTGTTTAGCTTCTAGTGAAAACATCTCAGTTCGCTTCAAATAAAACAAAATTAACTTACAAGTAACCTTTCAGCCAGAACTAGCAGCTTATTTTAAGTGAATATTTTTACTGTTATGAGATCATTTACCAGTAGAACTAAAAAGTTAAAAATTTTTTAAGGATTTATTGACTTAAAACCAGCTTCTACATCTTGGTGAAAAGTTACTTCTAAATTATTTTTGTCTTATTTCAAGTAAACTGAGATATATGCTTCAGAAATTACTGATAAAATTTAATCTATAACAATCACAGGGGGGAGGCAGCGTTGAAAACATCTCTGATGCAAAATGGGTCTGTAAATAGAGCTGCAACTTACGATTAATTTAATAATAGATTATTCCAGTGATTATTGGATAAAAACAATTCGACACATTCTGAAGATTTTTAATTTAGTTCACGTTTAATGCACTAATCGATTAATCCGATTAGTCGTTTATTGTAAAGTTGCTGGTTCTGTCTGCAAAAGTCACAACTCATCACGTTTTTAAAATTCTCCACAGGAAAGTCGAGCTTTGATGACTTTCGCCATCGATAGCAAAGAGCGCAGAGTGATGATGTCATCAACCAAAGGCTCGTTCTCAGTTCAGGAGGTTGGTCATTTTCTTTGTTTCTGACCCGCCTGTTGCCCGTCTGACGGTTCTGATTGGACTGTCCGTCTTCCACAGCTGCAGCAGTGCGTAGCCGTCAGTCAGAAAGCGTCAGAGAAGATCTTCCAGTTCTACAGAGACTCCGTCAGACGGCGATACTCTAAGAACCTTTGACTCAATCGGGATTAAAAAAAAATAAAAAATTTTATATATAAATATTGTGATGTAATAAAATATTTAGCAACCAATTCTGTGGTGTCTCCCTTTAGCTCAGGAGCAGAGACAGGCACAATGTCTGACTAATGAGGTAGGAAATGAGTCGAGGAATGGCCGATCTTAGTTATGTGCATTTATTCACTGATGTTCCACTTAAATATTCACAGTTATTTCACACATGGAAGCAGAGTCGGTTCAAGGATTTCTGAGGCCTGCAAGCACAGTTTGAAAGGTTAGCCCACTGTCCACCACCCTCAACATATTCAGGCTTAAGTAAAGCGTAAAATCAAAATCTGAAAAACCAGACAATCAGAAGATGAGAACGTACAGAGCAGCAGGGGTTCACAAAATTATAGAAATATACCTTGCAAATCTTCGGTTAATGAATTAAATGCGTCATAAAATTCTTAAATCTATCAATAAATTATTAAATGTACCGTTAAATTAAGTAAATTTCCATGAAATAATCAAAAACGCAATTTCAAATAATGAAAAGTCATTTAAAGAACTTTTATTTGAAAATATATGTAATTATTTCATGGCTCCAGTGTGAGCCTCGGGCTCCCCCTGGTGGTGACAGTGGGCTTTGCAAACAGCAGAAAAAGGAAAAAAAGCAACAAAAAATATTAATTTATCGACTCCCTTTCACTCTTTTTATAATTATTAGAAGAAGTGACACAAGATGAGTGAAACCCTGAGCCTGAGGCAGCTGCTCCGGCAAAACGATGCACGTTTATGTCTTTGTTGTAAGACAGAAACATCGAAGGGTTGGTCGGTTTTAGTTTTTGAGTAGATGTAGATGTTGTGAGGAGACAAACGGTGAGTTGGGTCAGTTGGAGTGTGATGCTGTGTGCAGAACGTCAGTGGAACTGAGGGTAAGACTCACAGTGTGGTGACATTAACAGTCCTAATAAACTCTAAAACAACAGAAAAGGAGTGTTTTGATGCTTTTAGGTCAGCTGTGGACTCTATAAAAACTGTACAGCAAAATAGAAAATCTTGGCTTTTCCGTCAGTCTTTTTTGTTATTTATTATTTTGTACATTTTGGTAGCACTCCACACAGTTCTGCAACAATTTGGTACCAGTGATTTAAGCATTTGATAAAGGATTTTACTTTCCGGTACCCGTCAGTAACATCAGTGAGAAAATGATCAGAACCATTTAAAAAGCATAAGAGTATCAGGGCCATTGAAAATAAAAGGAGTAAATTTTCACCAGAGAATTCAGAGATGTTGAGATTAATCTCAGAAAATTTTGAGAAAACTTGGAAAATATTTGGAGTTTTACAAGACAATTTTTTTTAGTTAGAAACTCTGAAATTTTCAAGTTTATCTCAAAAATTTGTAAATTTCTCACAAATTTTAGACTTTTCAAACTCATGAAATTTTAAAGTTTTTTTTCTAGAACATTTTGGAGATTATTCTCAAAATATGAGCTTTTTCAAAGCAAATTTTAGATTTTTCAAAATCAGAAATTTTTAAGTTTTTATAGAAAATTTGTAAATGTGATTTTGATTTTAGCAAATTTGCAACTTTTCAAACTCAGAATTTGATGTCTTTTCTTTTCCAGAAAATTTTAAATTATTCTCAAAATGTACAAGTTATTTCTAGCAAAATTTTAACTTTTTCAACTCAGAATCCTAGAAAATTTGTGAAATTTCTTCTAGCAAATTTGCAACTTTTTCAAACTCAGAAATCTCCATATTTCTTTCTAGAAAATTTGTGAATGTGATTTTTTTTCTAGAAAATTTGAAACTGAAAATTTCAAAGAAAATTTCTGAGTTTATTTTTCATTAGTTTTTTCTAGGCAATTTTCAAAATCAGAAATTTCATTGTTCAAGAAAATTTGTGAATTTTTTTTTTTTAAGCAAATTTGCAACTTTTCAAACTCAGAAATTTCAGTTTTTGTACAAGCAAAATTAAAATTTTTCAAACATACATTTTCTTGGGGTTTTTTTCCAAGAGAATTTGAGTTTCTTGTCAGTAATTTATTACTGTTTTTACTACTATCTATAATGATCCAGATACGTCTTTTGTATAAAACAGCAGTTGGGAAGCAGATGTAAATATTACAAAGCAAAAATACTAATCACAAAAATATTAACAAACCTAATTAACAGCCCTGAGAAAGTCAATTTTTTTTTGCAGCATCACGTTAAACCAGTTTAAATTAACAGATTAATTTCAGAGCTTCATTTAGGTTATTTTAATTCAGTTTTTCTCATTATTTCAAGGTTGATGAGTCTGTGACGCCAGTTGTTCTAAACAAGCTGGTATATTGACTTCAGTTCAGTTTTACAAATACATTAGTAACCTCAAAGGTAAATTAAAAGTTGTAGCTGAAATTATACAAGTTTCTTCAAAGCGTTGCTGTTGATTTCTGTGGGCAAGAAGGATCTCCTGTAGTGGTCTGTATCACACCAGCTTCATTCAGTCTCTGACTGAAGACATTAATGCTAAGCTAGTTGTTTCAAAGAAACACATTTTAAATGTTTTTAAAACTGTTGTCTCTGGTTTTTGGCTCTTTTTTCAATCCTGTGGCAGAAAACATTTACTTTGCTAGCTTGCGTTTGCAAACACGACGTCCAACACTGAAAACTAGACAAAAATACGTGGGAAGGTTTTGATTTGATCCGTTTCTCTGATTCTCATAAATTTTCAGATGTAATTTCTGTATTTTGTTACGAACCAAACTTCACTGGTACCATCCTATTGCAGAAATGTGATGTGAAATGGTTCCTTTATTTTACTGGGTATTTTCTTTAAATGACTATGCTTAAACCAATATGGTCAGAATTTCTTTTAGGGTTTATCAAAGTTTTTCTTTTAAGAACTTTGGACCCAATAACAAAACGGATAAAGCTATGGACATGTTGGTAAAACACAAAAGTGCCATGCAGATAATGACTCGTCACATTAGCTTTTCCAGCTTTTTTCTTACCTTATCACTATTATTTTTACATTTAAACAGGTGCACTGCTTTGTTTTTATGGTTTCGGCCTGACAAAACCATTTCCCTGTGTATTTTAATTCTTTTTTAACAGGAAAAAAATATATGTGAATTTACATTTTAGGGAGATTTTCTTCACAGTTGGGTCACTTTGATATTTTTGGCACTTTTCTTCACTCCTACTTCCAGATGTGTTTTAAAATATCCACACTTCATATCTTGATTTCATTTCGTTTCATATATAATGGCACTCTATTGTTATCATCATAAAGATAAAACTTGGCTTTAAAACACAGCAAAAGGCAGTCCTTTCTGCAGGTAAACAAGATGAAATCACGAGGAGATGTTGAGGAAGAAACTTTGCTTCTGGCAGGCGCTGGATATGAAAAGTCCAGCAGGAGTCGCCTCCAAGATAAATCTGCAAACTTTGACTCTTCCTGCGTCTTTTGTCATCCATTCACATTGTGGAAAATTCTGCATGTATTTAAAGGGGACCCATTATGCAAAAATTTGGGTTTCAAATGCTTCTAAAAAAAAAAACAGCCAAAGTGCTTAAAAAACAAACAAACAAACAAAATCACCTTATTGTGTCGTCTGACAACAAGTTGATGCTTTCTGGTGTCTGGAAAATTAGCCGTTTCAATAACTTACAGATTTTTAAGTCACAATGAAAGGAAACTGTGTCGTTACCTACCAAGGCCAACGTAACTGCAGCAGGTTAACTGAGTTTACCACCGTGATTTCCAAAACCTCAATAAAAACTGGACTTATTTCCCCGTTCGTTCGTAGAATGTGACGACATTCATAATAACCAAACAGAATGACAGTTCATAAAGCATCGGAGCCGAAGTTTGTTAAAATCATACAGCGGTAATAATGTAAAACTACATTATTGACCATTACAAAAGAGAAACTTGCTTAATACACTCTTGTGTCTTGACAAAAACCAAAGTGTTTCCAGATTTCTACCCAGGGTCAGTTTATACACCAGCAACCGTCTCAGCTTTAATTTAAGCCGTATTTCATAGAAATTGGATAAGAAACAGGAGCGATAGATACAAGTATTTTTCTGACAGATTCCTGCTTGTCCTGCAGTTGAAACTGTTTGGTTTTATGGACATGACTCCATGTCTATTAAGGTTCACCTCACTAGCTTCAGCAGCTAACAGGAAATGTCCAATCAAGTAGCATAACGATGGCTTTACTGCTGTACACACTCCAAAAGTGTTTTTCTATTGGTTTACCATTCATAACATACGTTTGCATGAAGTTTAAAGATGGTTGTGTAATTGTGAATCTGTTTTCAGCCATTGTTAGGTGTGAGCGTAAACGTTGAGTTTAGTGGGCGTGGCTACATAAACCGTTTATTTGGATTTAAAGTGACAGAGGCCCTAAAACACTTCGTTCTGAACGGCACTCAACACGAGTATTTTAGAAAAATTCCCATCATCTAAGAATGAATTTGTGCTAAAATATTTAATAAATATGTTTTGTATCGCCCATAGACCCGGGATGTCCAAAGAGTGGCTGGAGGGCCATTTGTGGCCCTTGAAATGATTTTGATCGGCCCCCTGACCAGACTTCAATAACGATAAAGATTTGGCCAAGAAAATATAAAACAACTGTTGAAGACAAAAATGTGTAAACAGTTTTTTTTTTAACAAAGCAACAATCTGTAGCCTTTTTTATGTTTTGGGTTTTTAAGGTTTTCTTAAAAAAATACTTTTTATTAACCAGTTAAACTAAAGAAAAAGAATAATCATACTAAATAATTTTTTGCATTTTAAATGTAATTCATTTTTGCAATTTAAATTTGCCAGTTTTAGACACCCAATTCTAACTTGTTCTAGGAAGCGTAACAGGTCACCTTTAAATTTAATTTAAGCTCCACATGTGATGACAAGCATGACACAAATTTGTCAAACTCGGTGAGAAAGTCGAGTCAGAAAGTGGAGGAATGTCCTCTGGGCTGCATTTCGTCCTATTCCAGTGAGACGTGGTTGAAATCTTTTCGTCGAGTCGTCGTTTTGCCGATGATGTGTGGATGTTCATGGACTGTTTGTGTCTTTGTGTGTCTGCGTCTATGTGCGAGCCGCGGCTCTTATGATGGCTTTGCAGACAGGTAGGAGATCAGCGCTGCGATGGCGCAGATGTACGTTATGATGCCAAACACAATGGAGAGCACGGAGAGCCACAGGGCCTGGCGGGACGCCGCGTTGGCGCCCTGAAAATCCCCCTGAGCTGATGCCTTGTTGGTCTGGAAAGCAGAAGACAGTGGGATAAGGATTAGCGGTTTGGGGAAAAAAATATAAAAATACAGTAAAATCAGAGAGAGGGGTATTTGTCCTGCATGGCTTTCCTCCTCCCCTCAGTTCAATCACTCGCTAATCCCACATTATGTTCCATCCCTGAATCATAAACAGCGTTCAGGATTCATCAGGGTTTTTTTGTCCTCTTCTCTCCCTGCAGTCCTTGTCTCTGAGTTTGACCCTGCTTTAGGTAAAGCTCCACAATATCGGAAATCCATCCCATTTCTCTCTTTTTCTGATTAAATCTTAAAGAAAATGTTTTTTACTGCTGTTTACACTGCAAGGTTTAGTGAATGTTTTACTTTGTTATTTTATTTCTGAAGGGCGAGTTTGTTGGTGGAGCAATAAGAAAACCTTTTTGATATTAAGAGATAAAGGCACAGCAAAGTGGAAATAATACATCAGTACGAGAATAAGGTTGTACTATTAAGAAAATATAGTGATAATATTACTTAGTATTATTTAGCAGACGTCAAGCTTTGTTGTTTTTTTTTAAACGAAGGGTGAGAATTAGGAAAAAAAACAAATTGAACTAAATCTGATTTTATTACAGCAAAATAATAATTTCAGTTTTTTAAACTTTAGTTTTTGCTCTAATAACATCAGGATGTTAAAGAAAACGGTTAGGTTTGAGTTTTTACAATGTCTGTTTTTTTTGTTGGTCTCAAAATGTATAAAAACTTTTACATTTAAACCAGGGGTGTCCAAAGTGCGGGCCGTGGGCCATTTGCAGGACGTCAACTGATTTTTTTGTGGCCTCAACTGTCAATTAAGAATGACGCAAATTTGTTTATTAAGCTTTTTATTTTTAATCAGGGTGACATTATTAATGCAGACAATTTCCTTACAGTGTTAAATGTTAATTATAACACAAAATATTAATCTTTTTATAACCAAACTTTCATAATAGACAGAACTGACTTAATTAATAACTTATTTATCCAGAAGATAAATGTAAAGAAATTCATTTGATATTAAAAATAAATATTTGTTGAAATTAATATTTTATTTAATACATTAAAATGATAATTTTGGCCCCTGTGACAGAAAGTTGGGACACTGCTGATGTAAACATTGGGACTATAGACCTGCAGCAGTTGTGCTGCAGCAGGCGTGCCTCCTGTTGGACTGTGTGAGTTCAGGCTTTTACCTTTTGAGAAAGGTAGAAGGCGGCGATGCCCAGCGGCCAGAAGCAGCAGAGCATGGAGAAAAAGGCCAGACCCAGGTAGTCCTGAGGGATCATCAGGGGAAAGTTTCCGTCGCTGTCCGTATCGCTGAGGTCGTCGATTGATGAGTCCTGGGATCCAAACAGAGAACATTCAGCGGGACTTCCGGCCAGTTTCTGCAGATATTTTTCTCTTTTAGATCCAGATCTGAGCAGCAGGAACTACGAAACACCAGGTTTTCATTTCTGAGATAAATAAAACATTTAAAGAAATTTACATCCGTCCTTCCAGTTATTAAATTTGAAAGCTCAGTAAGATAATCTGCTTTCACGAATCGGAGTTCACAAAAGCAGGAAAAATATTCTGTTTTTATTCTCACGTGTTTTTTTTACAGCAACCGGAAAAACTTGCTTGTGACTTAATGGGGTTATGCTGTGAACGTGCACAAACTCCACTGACTGCAGGCTAACCGTGACTCATACGTCTGCGCATAGCTACGCATATTCGATCTGACTCCCCCGACCCGACCAGGCTACTCTGCTTAGTTCATTTTTTTGCATGAACAAGCTGCACATCAAGAGAATGTCCTTCTGCTTTTAAAGCACATTACCAATCGTATGAAATGCCTTCTGTTGCTCCTACAAATCAATTATGAAATGCAAAAATATGATTTGATGATTCATTTTCAAAGTATGCCCAACTTTGTGTTTATGCATCTGCATGTGGAAGTCATTGTTCTGTTCATGCTGGTGATCAAGCTCTAAGCTGTTGCTAATGATTATTGTATTTATCGATTATTCTGATGATCAGTCAATTAATCGGGCTAAAACAAACGGTAATCTGTTGATTTTTCTATAACCATTTTAGCATAATTATTTTTAATTAACAAAATAGACATTTTACTGCCTGAAATGCAAAAACACAGCATTCCTTTAGTGAATGCTTGATTATTTGTAGCAAAGGATGCATGTGCACAACATATTTACAGACAAGGAAGGGTTTTTTTTATTTTAAGTGCAAAATGTGTATTTATTTTATACAGTCTTGTTAATTACTGCTCAGAGTCTGTTGTTCTTTCCGCAAACGCCTTTTTAAAATAGTCTGGATACTCAAGTTAACGATTAATCGATTACTAAATTAGTTGCCAATTGTTTCAGTAATCGATTAATCACGATTAATCATAATCATGCATATTGCATTCTATCTCATCTTGTTTTTATTTTTATTTATGCTTTACATGTCGCCTTTATTTGCACCTTGGGGATATATAAAATTCTTTGAATTCGAAAGATTCGATTAATCGTTTCCTTCCTACAATATATTGCAGGTTGTATCAAACCAATTATGATAAGGTCCAGGTTATTGTCTTTTTTCTTCCATTTAATTTGCCTGATGGAGCTTTGTGTTCGTTCTGAACATTAATCCAGGTATTAGCGTTGTTGCCACACACAGCTGGTGCATTTAGGGATTTTCAAGATGCTGTTCACAGATCGCCATCTGCCTGAACGTCCGTCCCAGTGTGACGCCTGTGGGATGTAAATTCCTCATCTGCGGCCATGCACTCCCACTGTAGTGGGCTGAGTGCAGCGCAGGATGAGACTTCTGTTCAAACTGGACAACAATGACCAGGACAGCAACAAGAGAACTTCAATAAATGCAAATTTCCAAGTTTTTTCTTGAAAATTTCTGAGTTTGGTCTCAAACTTTTTTAATTTTCTGGGAGAAATTTACTCCTTCCCCCCCCCCATCTTCAATGGCCCGAGTACACCATCATCATGCGTATTGCCTCACATTCTCTCTTGCTTCTTAGAGCTCCTGTGTTTTCTTTTGTGTTGCTCAGCATCCATGATGACCTCACAATCAATATTTCTCATCAGCTCATTTTGCAGCTTTCAAACGTCGCAAAATTCACTACATATGGTACTTTTATGAACAGTAAGTTTGTCTCAGGAAAAGTAAAACAGTGCAAACTCATTTTTTTGGACATTTCAATAGGGCAAAATATTAAATATTCTAAACTGCACATTCACTTTTATTGAAGTGTTTTAAACGACACAAACACAGAGGACAAATATGTTTTTACAGATTCATGAGATAAAACTTAAAACTTTCTGCGGTTTTCACCTCAGCTGTGAATGTAAACTCAAACAATCCTGAAAATAAATAACTAATCTAGGAGCACATATGGCTTCACAGTTTTCTAAAAAGAGACTACATTTCTTTTTCTGTTGGAGCCTGTGCTAAAGCACCAGCAGCTTTATATAACCTGGCTTTCTGACAGAAACAGGTGAATTGCTGCCTACCTTGAATGCATCGCTCATATATCTATTTTAGGTTCCTGTTCAGCCGCCAGTAGCTCTACAGAGAACATAAAGGTCTCTTGCTTTCATGTTAAAAAATACAGAATGAAGAGTCGAGAATGCCAAGAGAAGTGAGCCATCCTTCAGCGATCAGTGAAAAACTAAATATGTATCCCTAAATTTGGTTCGCTGTGCCCGTAAAACAATTATTTCTGTTAGCAACTAAAACCTTATATTTCATGCTCATTCTTGCTTTATTTCTACATGAACTCAGTCAAAATTCGCCATCTCTTTTCCGCTTTCTTATTTACTTAGTTTCTTGACTGGGAAAATTGGGGAAAAATAACTGGAAAGCCCTCTGCAAACTGATTTCCCACTGGAAAACTGGGAACAACAACCAATTACGACTCGTAGGACTGACTTTGCATTTTAATATGGCTGCTCTTCGCATCAACACAAGAAAAACAGGAGAATTCAACTGCTTCATTCAACCTGAGGAGGGCAGCACTGAGGCGGTTTCAGGCAAAATAATATGGATCTTAACAAATTTATCTGGAAATGTCAAAATTCACACACAAATATATAGATAAAGCCCTAAAAAACTTGTTTAGTACAAAAGAGGATGATTACAACTTTTTTAATCAGAATTCTGATTAAGTCAGAATTCTTTAATCGCTGAATGCCAACTTTTTCTCAGGGCTTTGATCGTTGAAGATGAATTCAAACAAACTTGTCAATTTTAGAAAAAAGAATTTTGAGAAGAAAGTCAGAATCCATAAGAGGAAAAAATTCTGAATCCTGAGGTGAAAGTCAAAATTATGAGAAAAAACATTTTTGAAAAGATGACAAAAGTCTGATAAAAAAAAAAAGCATTTTGAGAAAAATGGTTAAAGTTACAATTCTGAGATTAAAAGTGAGAATCTTGAAAAAAAGTGACATTTTGAAAACAAAAAAGAATTTTGAGAAAAAAAAAAGTCAAAATCTTAGGAAACAAGTCAGAATTTTCTGAGAAAAATATTCGGAATTCTGGGGTAAATGTCAAAAATTTTCTTTTTTCACTGTCTCTAAGTCTTTCTATTAATTAGACACTTAATCTGCTAAATAAAAGTTGACTGGGGGGTTAGCTACACTCTAAGTTGTAAAAGAATATCTCATCGTAACTACTTTCTAACAGATTTCAGATAAAACTCAGGAGTTGTTTGTTTTTCTTTCTTACGTCAGAGTCAGGAAGCAGGTCGTCCTCGTCATCCATGCTGTAGGGGGCGCTGTGGAAGTCCTGCGCCTCAGCCAACAGCTTCCTCTCCAGCGCCGAACCGGGCCGGATGTCCACAAATGTGGTCTCCAGGTACTCCTTGCTGAGCAGGTCCGCTTGGCCCCACAGCGGCCCGGCCGGGTAGAGCGACTCCAGGCTGCGCGGCAGGGCGCAGGCGTCCAGCAACTCCGGAGGATGGCTGCAGTAGCCTCTCCAGCCCAGCGGAGGATACGTTCGGTCCTCCTCACACTTCACCAGAATGCCCTTAAAAAGCCCGACCGGCGCCTGGTTCTGCTGGGTCTGACCGGATGGCAGCCTGTTGGCGGCGCTTTCTTCCAGAAGGGGGTGCTCCAGCTCGTCTCTGTTCTCCATTAAAGACGAACCGCTCCAGAGGCCGCATCAACAGGCAAACGTAATCTACAAGCCGGCTGGCTCGATGGGCTTATGCAGAGGCAGCTGCTGTGATAATCCACCTTTAATCCTATTCTTTAATTTTTCTCTTGTTTCAGCGCCGGGTCCAGAGCAAAAAAGCACATGATGAGTTTATCCCAGCACCTAAAAGTTGAGTTGGATTATTGGAGAAGCTTTGGTCTCCAATTTTGTTCTCAAACAGCAAAAAGTGACAATAATGGTTATTGATCAATTAGTTGCACTTGTTTCTCTTTAGCTGCAGCAGAAACAGTAAAAAATATTTCCTTAGCTTTACTTTCTGATGCTTCATAAAGACGCAACATCCAGGGTTAGCTTTGGGAATAGATTTGAACATTTAGGTGTGAACGAAGTAAGGCTACAGAAGTATAATCCAGTGGTGAACATTGACTTGATGTTCTTCAGGAAACAAAAGTTGATTTTTGTTGATTTATGGCTTCAGAGTAACAAAAACAACCCAGCTCCTTAAAACTCCGTCCAGCTGTCCAACAAAGGTCTGTGAAGACAAAAACATTTAGATTTCACATTTTAACACCAAATTTTGATAGATTCAGATAAAGAAATTCATTTTACTATGAAGCAATTACAACCCATGTAAGTAATGTCAGTGGTGGGACAATGTTATTATAGTTAACTAAAACTAACGAAATAACAAAACTGAAATTTAGAAAACCCTTAATCCTTTGTATCATATTTATAAGACTTTCTCACAACTCAATAAACTTATAACATTTAAATGAGTTGGATTAGATTCCTATTAACAGTTTGCAACTACGTCACTTCCAGACGCCATGATGGACGTCGGAAGTGAGAATCCGGAGTATGAAATTTTTTTCCCAAGTTGTCTTTGCCAGTTCATTCATGGCTTCTTCCACTTGTTCGAGTCGAGCTGGTTTGTCTGTGAACGTCACACACCTGTTTGGGGCTCATGGACAGCGGGATTTACAAAAGCTAGAAACAGCTAGCTTAGAAACCGACCCGTACTTCCTTCCTCCTGACGTGTTGATCAAATTAATTACTTTGTCTGAATTCACACCACCTGATTTATAGCACTATGTCATAAACAGCGTTTCCCTTTAAACCAGAGAAACATTAAAAACGTACAAAAGACGAGATGCTAACCAGTTTTTCCCATACATGCTAGGCTACATGACTGTGCGGCATCGTCTCCATGGTTACCAATGATTAATCGCGTACCTTCTCCATAATGCGATATTTTAGATATTTTTAATCTATCATATTTTCTTAAAATGTATGTGAACGTTAGTCGTCTTGCCTTGTAAACGTATTTGCTGCTAATCTGTGATTACACCGAGGGCTGCCGGTCATTATGGTTGACGGCTGCTATCCGTCGCCGCCGCCATCTTTCCTCGTCAAATGTTTTACAATCAAATGACAAGTTTGGTTTCTACCCTTGTCTGTATGCGAAGCCGACCAATTTTTAAAGTAAAACCAGCTAAACAGAAGCGACATAACGTAACAAACGTTCGTTTTTAGACTAGCTTTAAATGAGCGCATTGGTTGTTTTGATGGCCATCTTAGCAAAGTGGGCGGAGTTCTGGAGAACGTGACGTCACGTGCGAAGAGTCTTAACCAATCATTTTAAAGGGGTTTCTTATTTATTTTTTTGGCAGAAACATTCTCTATATTTCTATCTACAATTGGCCTAAATTGTTCTAATACACCATCCATTTTATTGTATATGCAAATTTTGAATCTTCAATAAATTAAAATGTACAAAATTTGAATTGTAGATTCAAGTATCGAATCTGCAGTACACGTTATTGCAGAGGAAGAATACTACAGTGTTGCTAATAATCAACTAGTTTCCTCTGTCTCTGCAATCCAAATTGATTCCTACAGTAATTCTCTGAGCTCAGACTATTTAATTAGCTTGGCGTCAGCTCAGAGGACTGTGATATGAATGGCCACCCATAGAGATTTCACTGCTAATAAAGTCCCACTGTGGGTTGTTAAAATAAAGACCGTAAAGGAAAGAATAAACCAGAAGGTGAAAAAAATACCAGAAATCTGTGTACAGTAGATGTTACAAAGGGTTTTCAGACAGTCATTAAAATCAAACAACTGTAATCTGCTAGCAGATCTTAAAAAGCTGCAAAATCAAGTCAATCCAATTGGAAATCTGCCGTTCAATTTGAAAATGTATGATTGCAGATGCTCTCAGTCTTTGATATATTATGGGAGAAAAATGGAGATGTGCATCCAAAAGACTTGTCATTGTAAATTCAGTGAGAGTTGGTTCTACCAAGTATTCACTCTCTCAAAGACCACGACTTTCTGTTTCACGGTTATGAACCACTTTAAGACGACTTAAAACAAAAAATCCCAATAAAACACATTTTAGACTTCAGATATAGGATGTTTTCACATCAATATCTGTGAAATTAGGGACTAAAACTTCAACATTTGTTCCATTTTCAGCTGCTGCGATTCTTTTTTAGTCTAATGAAACCAACCTTTTGAAAAACCTGTTCCCCTCCTCGCCTCTAGGGATGCTGCACCAAGAACCATTTAAGGGAACGATGTAAAAACGTCTGAAGAAGAAACTTCTTTCTTCACAAAATGTAAACAAAAATGGAGTGGCATCAGATTTTAGCGGTTGAACATTCTGCATTCTGTCTTCGGTAAAAGACAACGAGTCATTTCTCCCACTAGCGCATTTGTTTTGGTTGTATTTACCCAGAATGCCCTGCGCTGGAATCCACTTACTGCTTTTGGAGCGGTCTTCGGTCCACTTGGCGTTCACATAGCCATCCAAACCGCAGTAGAGTTCACTTCAACCAGACCAGAATTTGATTTGATTATGCATTCACCCCACAAACAAACTGGAGTTTACCTAAATCGTTAAATAAAGATTGTTTTCCAGTGCGTAACACTTTAATGAATGAACTTCTGGTCGTAAAGATGTAAGGAGAAATGCTGCTGTGAACAATCTAATGAGAAAATATGGAAAAGCAATCTTCATTGTGTCTTGAGAGTCTTTTCATTCCGGTCTGGATAATGAAGTGTCATTTCACCAAACTACATAATAGCTCATCAGTCAGTATTCAGAGCAGCTCACACGATGGATTCAATAACGCGCTTCAACACACCACAGAAGAAGGAGGAATGAAACGGTATAACTGGGTATTTTTAGCCGGTGTGGTTTTATTTTCCGCTGGCCTCCTGCAGGGGAAGCACCTCGAGTGATTCTGTTTTTCTTTTCCAACAACGAACATGTCCGCCTCTCTTTTAGAGACAATACATGCAAGGCATGCAGACTCCTGCAGCCTCATTCCGGGAGAGATGCACTCAGCTTTATTACAACCCAGCCCTCTCCGCCTGCGCTCCTTCTCTGCCCAGCCACCGTAAAAAGACGTCAGTCAGCTGTATTATCACCCTGCCTCTATTTCTGACTAAAGCTTGTAAAACATCCAGTCGGGTGGAGAGGAGCCTGCAAGGACAAACCTGAAAATCATAGACGATATATTTGGAGCAGGGATGCACGTTATTGATTAATGCAGAGGTGTCCAAAGTGCAGCACAGGGGCCATTTGTGGTCCGTGGGCTGCTTTTGTTTAATTCAAAAATGATAAAAAGTTGACCTGAAGATGCAGATGAAGGCTTTTTCATTTGTAATCAGGGTAAAAATTGTTAGCTACATAATTTTGTGTTTTTATAACCAAGTTTTAACAAAATGTAAAACCAAGTTTATCCAGAGACTTTTACTGAAAAGCTGCACCCAAATCAGATTTTATTCCTTCCTAACGAGAATTTCTGACATAATCTGAAAAAAAAAATTTTCTTGCCATTTTTTAACTTCTGGAGCTCAGAAATTTTTAAGTTTTTTTTTAAGCGTTTTTCTCCCCAACATATTTCCAGCTTTGGAGCTCAGAAATGTCCTTGTTTTTTCTAGAACATTTCTGAAATTGATCTTCAAATTTCTGACTTTCTTGGCAGAAATGTATTCCCGTTCCCTCTATCTACAATCTCCCGAACGCGCTATTGTACTAAGCAGAAATTCTTAATCAACTGGGACACCTTTTAAGCTGAAGTTAATTGTGAATTGATGAATTGTTTAAAATTGTTTTGGAGTTTTCTCAAACACAGTTATCCCTACATAATCATTAAATAACTAAACTTCTTTAATGAAACGCAAAGAAATCTCCCTCAAATCTTCAGTGGCACTGCTGACTCTCATGAGGATTTTCAGCAACTCTGCAGTCTTTTCTCTCTCTCTCTCTCAGCGCAACACGCCAACTAATCATCCTGGAAGTTATCTGCTGTAAAGCCTCGGCTGATACAAATCGAGCGGATGCAGATAAAAGCAGGAGCTGCACACGCCTCGCAGGCTCTAATAAAAAGACATCTTGACTAACAGAGATGTCAGGCTGAGGAGACCCAAGCTGGGTTTTTTTTTTTTATGTTTTTTTTTTTTTTTTTTTTTAGAGATGCCAAAGTAGGAGGAAGAAATCTGAGTCGCCCTGCTGCTAATTAAATGGCCCTATTGATTTCATTTTCCAACCCTTTTCTCTTTCTGCCTCTGCATGACGAGTGCGGAGGAAACCAAACAGAAAAGATAAGCAAAAAAAAAAAAAGAAAGAAAGAAAGAAACAGGCAGGAACATCGAGAGCTCAAAGTAACACCATGTTCCTATGGAAACACATTCACCGTCAAGTGGAGCGCTCACTGCAGGAGAAATGAAGCTGAGGCTAATTTGCCATTTCAGTGCTGTTCCTCTGCTTGGCTCGATAAACACTGAACCTCCTGGTTAGGAGGCTTCTTCATTTTACAGCCGCAGAGGATCGCTTATTTCCTCTGCACGGTTAAAAATAAAAACAGATAAACACAGTCACACTCAGCGCTGACTATTTGAACCCCGCTGTGCAAAAACTCTAATCAATCCGCGGCGTACACCCAATCTAACCTCTGACATGCAACTCATTCTGTTCCCAGATTACAGTAGAATCAGACGCTGCAGTCATTTGCAGCCTTGCATCAATTACTCTCAAGCATTTCCAACTCAAACCAAAAACACACAGCTGGTGCTCATGTGCAGAGAGGCCAGAGGAATGAGAAATCATCCATCTGCAATATGTTGCACATGGTTCCAGCATCTCTCTGCAGGGAGTGTGTTGTTTTGTATGTTAGAGACAGAGTATACAGTGTGAAGGAACTGGCTGCGGCTCACAGTCTTACGCTGTTTGTGGAGTGTGTGCATGTGTGTGTGTGCTGAAATTCTCTTCAGGGATGTAATTTGTAGATGTACTGGCTGGTACGGAAGGCAAAAAGAGCTACATTCACGAATGAAAAGGAGAAATGAATACATTGATAAATTAGATAAAATTTAACTTGATATAAGCAGTTATCATGGGCTCAAAGCCAGCTGATATATATATTAAAGGATGTGTATTGTGTATTTTCCATGATCATAGTATTAGTTCACAAAGTGATAATAATAACTACTTACTTTTTAAGGTAACTGTATGGCTGTGTCAGCAACTTCTCTTGAAAATCATTCCTATTTGTAATACGCTTCTTTAGGACACCAGCCACAAAACGAAGTATTATTTGTATTTATTTATTTATAAAAAGTCTTAAATTTATGTATCAATAAAAAATGTCTTAAAGAAATACAAGTTGGCTTTAATTACGTTAATTACAAGTCTTAAATTTGGTCATGACTGAACTATCTAATCTCGTCATAGGACTTTTCTGTGACTCCAGGTGGTTTAGGCTAACGCTAACTAGTTGCCAATGCTAACTAGCTAGGTATTTATGAGCTTCTTGTCACCAACTTCATAACCTAAAAAAGATGTAAAGAAACCTATAAATAGCAGGAAGGAAATACAACAATTTAGCTTTTTTTGTTTTAAGTCATTTAGAACTTAAAACTGTAGAACTGTAAGTTTTATTTTAAATTGTTGGTTTTAATGTTTATTTTGGTACCACTTGGTGTGATATGTATTATTTTATGTTTTACTGTAAGCTTTACAATTTATCTTTTTTAGTCTCTGTAGCACTTTGAGATTTCTTTGAAATAAAAGGTGCGTTACAAATAAAATTTATTATTATTATTATTATTATTTTTGTTATTATGAGACATGAAACTGAGAACACCTCCTAATAGTTTAGGTACCTCAAATTTCAAGTCAACTACAATTTTGTTTATATAGCGAGTAAAAAACTCTGATTTACTGCTTTTTTATCATCAACAAGACAAACAGCAAAAGTGTGGATTAGAACAAAAAAAGAAAATGAACACTATGATTGCAATAGGCCTTCGTAGCTCGGACCTAAAAAACATCTTACGTCATTTTTAAAGCTTTGGCCGGAGGATGAGGATGAAAAGGGATTGGCTGATTCCTGGATTCTTAGAAATTAAGCATTTCAACATTCAATTTAATCCTGGAATAGATTGGATGCCAGTAGAATGCCAGCTTTAATGTTGTGTTAGAAGTTGTGTTGCTGCAGTTTGGAGGAATTGAAAGCATCTCATTAAAGGACCCTACGACACCCACTGAACATACCTGGCACAGGCCTCAATGTTTGGCAAATACGGCGTTGTTTCATACCTGCACACATTGAGAAGCAGTTACTTTCATTTACACCAAAAACAGAACAGAAAGGACTCCCAGTTATCACTAAACTCTGTTTTTTTTTGTGGAATATTAAAGTTTCTTCAGAAGAAAGAAACTGTGGACATTACATCGGGCTGGACAAATAATCATATCACAAATAATCACAACAAACGTGATTGTTCAATAAGTTCACTGAACTCTTGCTAAGCTATGTTGGTGGAATCAATCAGGCTGCGTTCACACTGCAGCCTGAAGTGACCCAATTCTGATTTTTTTGTCAGTCAAACTTTTTGCCGTGGCCGTTTGCACTCGAAAAATATGTGACCTGAGCGTGTTCTGCAGGGTGAACGGGCACATGACCTGAAAGTGCCCTGCAGGCACAGTAGAGGGCGCAATGGCGTCAGCGTTCTGCCAACCGCCATAAAGAAGAAGAAGAGCTTAAAGAAACCTATAAAGGTTTACAGATGTAAACATGGATGCTAACAGTGAAATATAGCTTACATATTTCAAGTCCAACCGTAGGAGCATAGTAACAACTTAATCATTTAATCCTCATTGTCGTCCGTCATGGTTGTTGTTTTTCTTCCTGCTTGTTTTTTTTAATCAAGACGCAGAATAGTGACGTTTGTCGTGAAACAGTGACGTTCAGTTCGGATGAATGCGATCTGGACGTTAGGTCACATTTGAATCAGATACTGAAGTGGCCTGGATGGCATTTAAAAATAACCCAATCGGTTCTGCGTGGCCTTATTACTGCTAACAGTTCAGGTAGATCGCGAAATGAAGCTAAGTAGAGCTAAGCTAACATCAGCTAAGCTAAGTTAGCTTTATTAGTTTGCTGGGAGGAAAATTTGTCTTAGAAGATAAGAATAAGCTACAATACAACAAAGATGATAAAAAATACTTCGAAGTCAGTAACAATAAATACATAAAACTAACATAAATGAACATCAAATGCTCAAAGTAGCACAAAGTTATGCAAATAAATGTGCAAAAACAAAAAAAAGCATAATTACTCTCCACACAAACATATAAAATATTTTTAACTTCTAAACTTCACGATAAATAAATTGTTAAAATTTGGACACTGTTGAGTGTTTGATACCAAACATGCCTCAGAACTGCTTTTACCCGATTCTGGACAAATTAGAGAAAATAACGTTCTAAATACACTGAATTTGCTGCAGAATAAATAGTTCAAATAAATCAACAATAAAGCCTAAAATGATGATATTTATGTCCATGATGCGTGTGTTTTCATTTGGTCTCAAACTGTCAACAGCCTTGATAAAGACAGCGATAGCTGCTTGTTTGTTGCTTGTAAAAACAAACACTTTTTTCTGAGTGAATAAAGCTGTGAAAGTGTCAGATTAGTTGACAAGCGTCGCCAAACTGCCACAGCGATTCCTGCAGTATCTGCACAGATTCTGCACAGATGTCATCCTGACTGTTCACATCATCCAAACTGCAGCACAACAACCTGAACACGCCGCACGTTTCATCACCTTCAATTAAAGGAAAAGTGCTCATGTTTATTTTCTTTACCAAAAAATATACCTACGTTTTTATTATTAATTTGACGTTTGTTGCAAAATAAATAAATAAATAAAAATGCTGCTTTTGATTGCAAACTTTAAGGTCTGTAACCTTAAAATGTAAATCAAGGATGTCCAAAGTGCGATCTTAGCCAAACTTTTCCTCCCATATTAGCATCAAAACAGGCCCACAGCATGACGCTACCATTTGATCTTATTCAGTTTCAAAGTCTTTTAGAGATGCCTTTTCTGACTCCATGTGTTTTTTCAGTCCACATGGCAAAAAGTTTGTACATTAAATGTTTATTTTTAAATCTATAAAACTCTTTGTTTGTGTTTCTCTTAATAAAGCTTCTAAAGGAAAATAAAAGCAGTTTGGAAAACATCTCCAAATAAAAAGGTAGGGAAAGGATAATTTATCAAATTAATTCCCTAAATTATTCAATAATAATCATTTATATGCATATTACTATGCCTTTTGTTCAGTTTTATGTACCTTATCTAATTAAATTTTCCCTATATCTTGTTTGTTTGCATCTAGTTTTTACCTTCCCCCCCCCCCCCCAATGATTTCTAATCTCACCTGATTGTAAAGCTTCTTTCCTTTAATTATTGTGTTTTTTTTCCTGTTGTTTTCCTCACAGACTGAGTGGATTGCTGTGTGCCCACCCACGGAAGAGAAAGCTCCTTCTTTTAATCAGGACTCCTGGCAAGAGAAACACTGCGTGTCCCGTTGTTTAAGCTGCATTTTCACATTTCCCCCCCTGCATAAAGCATTGAAGATTTGAAAACATCCCGAATTATCACCTGGGGATTGATAGGAATGCTTTCTGCCTTTTTCTGATTACAGATTATTAAAACTGCACACCAGGCTGGTCGTAAACCATTAAGTGGACCAGTAAACAATAGAGCTTTGCAGTATGAGGGGGATGCTCTGCAGCTCTGCTTTCTTGTTTGCTTTTGATAGAAAGAAAAATACTGATACTGCCAAAAAAAGAAAAGAAGAAGAAAAAAGCTGCAGATTATTTGAAGGTTGTAGAAGAAAAAATTATGTAAAATACAAAGCTGAAAAAAATCCTTAAATAACGTGAATGCCATTTCTTTGAATTTAGCTTTTAAGTGCAATCAGCATAAATGTTCTCACCTTCAGGTCCCAGCTGAAACCAACCACAGGAGTAAAAGATGTCCTTCCTCGTATTGAATATGCGTTTAGTTTTAACTGTGTATGTGCGGGACAGGTACACGTGGTGGTGCGGGAGCCTCGAATGAGCAGCTGGAAGTCAAACTTATCGGCATCTCCTCGGCTGCTTGGATGATGGAGCTGTCACACCTGGTCACCCATGCTTTGTCGGAGGCTCTCTGTCCCCAGACGAACATCTCCGGTGCGCTGCATCCCTCCTCCTCCTCCTCCTGTTCGCAGAAAGGAGAGGTGGTTCCTTGATGCTGCGGTTACTGTGTCAGCTTTCTCCTGTCACTCCGACTTTCCTCTGTCTCCTCCTCTTCACTGTTGGACGCTCTGGGTCCTAAAGCCCGCCGCCGCACCGCATTTTCTTGTATTTTAATCACTAAACGGTCCCACTAAGGACAGCAAACACGCAAATTGAGGATATTTCGCCTTTTCTTGCTTCCCTAAGAGGATTATGGAGGTCAGTGCTTGATTTTGGGTTTAGATTTAGTCCGTAAGAATGTTTAAAGGAGCGTTTTGCATGCTTTTGTTACTTCCATTTGGGTTTCTATCGCTCCCAAAACACTCCGAGCAATTACATTAAAAAAGAAAAAAAATGCCTTTTTTTTTTAGTTCAACTTCCAGCTAATCTGAACCGGAAGTGATCGGTGCTATTTTAATGGGCATGCGCAGAACGATCCATAGAGGCCTTCAAGGCCAGCAAAACAAAAATTTATATATATATATATATATATATATATATATATATATATATATATATATATATATATATATATATATATATATATATATATATGTATATATACACACACACACACACACACACAAAGCCACTGCTGTCAGGATCGACTCGTATAAATGCAGAGAATGGAAACATGTCAGTCGACGTGAACAATCTGCCTCCACTCTCAATTGATGACGTTCTCTACGTAGTGAACACGAAGAATGCTAACATCATGGAGGAGCATAGAAATCAATGTTTAAACGGTTTTTAAAGAACGTACGAACTCTTCATGTGAATAAAGTACAGGTGACTGAGAGTAAGTACATTTAGTAGCAAACACATAAGCTACATGTCCGTGTTAATTAGCATGCAAAAGCTACATTAGCTAAGCTAATTTTGCTAGTTCGGCAGTAAGTACTACAGTAAATATCACAGATAGTTATCTTAGTATTACACAGAGGTGGTTAGAGTATTCAAAAATTGTAAGTAAGTAATAGTTGTAACATACTTATATTGTTTATTGGTTAGGAATGACGAGAGAGCTAGTGTTAAGCTTGCCTTGTTTGCTGTTGTCATACCAACTCTACATCCAGATGGCTGTCAGTTACAAAGTTCATTAAAGAGTGACGTCACATATATATATATATATATATATATATATATATATATATAATATATATATATATATATATTAGTTTTAAAAACCTCCATAATGCAATGTCGCAAATCAGCAGGCACTGCCTGTCACCTAGCAACCCCAGCAAAGCCCAGCATGTTGCCCAGCAACCCCAGCGGAGCTCCGCACGTTACCTAGCAACCCAAGCTAAGCTCCAGGATTTTAGGTGAGCTGGTTTTATGACAATAATAGTAATAACAATAACAAACTGTATTGACATAGCACTTTTCTAAGCAATTCACACTTTACAAGAATCAAGAAAGATTACCAGCAGAGCATTAAGTACATAAAACAAAATCATAAATGGAGAACACTTAATTACATAGCAGATTTAAAACAAAACACAGTTGGCTTTCCACTGCATGCGCTGTACAATGGCTGCTGGAAAAGAGAAACTGTGTTTTATTGTTGACATCCAGAAACCACTTTTTGCATTCTTGGCTGAATTTCCATCACAAACTTTCCAGATATTCCGCTAATGCCAAAAAGATACACTTTTGTAATTGTGTCCTTTTGGCACATTAAATAAAACACGTGAAACACAAATAAATTCATGAATAAATTTGTTCACACAATACGCCATTAAAAAACAAGCCGTGCCATCATTCTCCAACTACTTCCTGTCACCTTCTTCAATTCTGCCAATACTACCACTGTAGTCTTGCAGAATACAAACATTTCGTTACAACTAATAAAACCACCTCAGCGAGCGCAAAAACTTTTCTGGAAATCATGTTTTTTTGAAACAAGTCAATTTGTTCTCAAAATTCCAATTTGCAAAATTATATGGTCAATACAAACACAGCTGTTGCTGGTTGTGCAGGAGGCTCAACTTCTGCTTTTCAAATATGTATGGCTGCATAATTGCACACCTGCTTGCAGCCATTTTTGTGCTTGAGTGTAAACTTTGTGTGTTCAGCAGCAGCTTATTTGGATTTAAAGTGACAGAGCCCTAAAACTTATCAGACTAAAATGTCATTTAAGGAAGCACATTTATTGTTCAGCCTATTTATCTGTGCCAATTTAATAAATTTTGGGAGATGAGTGATTAGCCGATACATGCATAGGAAGAAGTTCTTATTCTCCAATCTTATCTACCTCAGCAAAGGTCTAAAAATCAACCAGTGACCTCTTTTTTTCTCCCATTATAGAGTTCTGACTAGAAAGTCATGTATCCAGGTAATAGTCACCCCACTATTGCCAATTGAGTGACTTTCTTTCTATATTTAGTGACATTTCAGACAAAAAACATTGGTATCAGCTAAAATCAGAATTGGTATGTTGGGATTTTTATAGATCATAATTGGTGATTGGCCAGAAAACTGCAGTCGCTGCACCTCTAGTCTCATTATCTGAGGATGACTTTGTGCAAAAATTTGTAATGAACGTGTTTTGTATAGCAAATACCTATGCTAACATGTTCAAAGAGACACAAAAGGTCACCTTTACTGTTAGCAGTATCAGCAGAGAGATGTGTGGCCTCCTGCTTTTTGGATAAATATGAAATCTAGAGTAAAAACAGATTGAGAAGGCGGTGTGTCTAAAGGAAAGCTGAGTCTCTCTGCTCTCTCCCCCTCAGCAGGGATGACTGCGCTCTGTGTCAGCCCTTTCATGTCCACCTCGGCCCGTGCCTTCAGTCTCAAAGGTCAGGCCACATTAAGATCTTTAAGGCGCAGAAATAGCCCTCGCCGCTTCAGGCCGGTGCTTCTTTCGCCTCCTTCAGCGGAGGATAAAGCTCAGGCGTCGGTGGACACCAGCAATCTGAAATCCACAGAGGCTTACGCCGAGTATTTGATGAGGTGCTCTTAGCTGGAATCCCTCCCGCAGAAACGGTTTAACTGTTTTTTTTGGGTGGTTGTTGTTTGGTTCGTTGGATCTGGTCGGCTGAGCCACAAAGCTGCCTAACTGAAGGTCTGTTTGTTTTTGGCCTCTGAGTTCATCATGAGATCAATACACCCTGCTTCAGTCTGAGTACATCCACATGTTTTCCATCTTTTTTTTTTCTTTCTTTAGCCTTTTCTCCTCCTCTCTCCGATCATTCGTTTGATGCTGTACGATGGGGGGATGGGAGGAAAACAGGAGGATTGATTTGGTGGGAGGAATAAAAGAGGACACTAATGATATTGCATTGGGTGAGATCAGCATACGCTTTATTTTCATCCGATCAAAAATGATCTTCAGATCATTGTCTAACAAAAACAAAATGCAAGCGGGAAATGTTTCTTCTCTTCTATCACAACCTGAAATAGTTTTTTAAGATGTTAAATCCTCAATTTTAACACAAAATGGGAAAACCTACTAATATTTAATTTATTTGCATTTGTCTAGAAAGTCTGGTTTGTTTGGTGAGGTGTGACTGTGCAGTTGAATTCTGATCCCTTTCTCGTGAAAACCACGCTGACCGGAGATCGCTCCAAAAGCAGGAAATAGACTTCTTATCGTAGGGCTTTCTGGGTAAAAACAACCAAAACGAATGCAGGAGTCTAGCGCTAGCAGGAGAAATGGCTCTCAGTCTTTTGCCAAAGAAAGAGAAATCCTAAAATCTGACGCTACTCCATTTTTGTTTACATTTTCGCTCAGCGTTTCCTTCTGTGTTTTTGTGTCATTTCCTTCAGTGGTGGTTGGTGCAGCGCCCCCACAGGCGAGAAGGGGAACAGGTTTTTCAAAGGGTTTGATTTGTTTCACACAAACTGTGAAAGAGAATCACACCAGCTGAAAATATAACAAATGTTGCAATTTTGGTCGCCAATCGAACCGAATCTACCAAAATATCAGGTGTGAAAAAACCGTAGAGATGGAGTGCATTCACACCATCCCTCTTATGTCCGTTTTAATCAAACCCCAGTTCGTTTGCCTGGAAAGTTTGGATTGTTTGGGAAGCGGAAGACGGTAAATGGATGGATAGGCAAATAAATTATGCAAATTGTTTTAGTTGGTGATAAATGGATCGACATGTAAAACACTTTGAAGTGCCTTGTTGCTGAAATGTGCTACGCAAATAAACTTGAATAAAATCCACTGGATTCTCCAACTTCAACAGCAAACAATACGAATCTCGTGTTTTGTGTTCCGGGGCGTCACCTGCAGAGAGTAAGGCTCTTATCTTCTTACATCCTCATCTTTCTTCACAAGGAGATTTGTGAATAATCAGCTAACAAGGTATTAAGACGACTTCCAGGTGAAAAGTCAATGAACACTTTGCAATGAGACAATAGCACCATCTGGCACAGACCGTCCAACTTTTTCAATGAATGGTAGTGTTTTTGAGAAGCAACATGGCGCTTCAGCTGGTATTTTTAGCAGGTTTGTGTTTTTCCTTGAGGCAGCAACCTTCATGGACGACCAACTCAGCACCCCCCGCCCCGTGAGGAAGGCCGAGGGAGGGAGAGGAGGAGGAGTGTCATATTACCAGAAAGCCTGAGGTGTTAAGTAGCTCAGTTTGGAAAGCATTGCTAAGCCAATACACTCTGACGTGTGGAAGTACTATCACTTCAGCGCTCAAAAACATACCGCCTTCTTTTTTAAAAAAAGTGTTTATATGAAATAAAACATTCATGTATTCAGCTCAGACACCAATTACACGTGCTGAGGCATCCTTGGTGCCCGCTGTTGTTTTTGATGCCGTGAAACAGCTCTCCGGCTCTAAGGGATGTGTCGATGTTTTAGCAGGATGTCATCTATTATTCTTGTTACTCGCTATCAAGAGATTCTGTTTGTGTGCCAAGCACTCTAAGCAAAATGCAAATGCGGCTGCTCAATCTTGTGACTTGCCTGCACACAGCTGATGAGACCTGATTTGTGTGTGCGTCTCTACAGAAATAAGACAATGCACGGGGTAAACTTAAGGCTCATGA